CATCAGATGCAGTTTAACAAAGCCTCATGTTACTCATCAATCTTTAATTGCTACATAGGTTCTTTCTTGTTTAGGTTAAGCAAGTTTGAATGCTAAACAATCAGATAGTTTTTAAACACTCTAGCTGAAATGTTAATACAGCCTTTTAGCAATGATCTCAATGTGAAATTTATTTAATGAAAGTGACTTGTATCACAAGTAGCTGTTACTTAAATGACACTAAAGTCTGTTGATGAATTTCTATTGTTTATCTTAAATTTTTGTAGGTCTGTGTCCACTTTATTGTATGTTAACTCTTCCAACACGGGGTCAGTCGTTTTAACCAAGTCACGTGACCTTCTGTACTCGTTTAAAGTTGACATCAATTTAATACTTATAACTGTATATATATATTGGGTATATGATCACAAAATTTGGCAGTCTTTCAGTTAATATTACAAGTCTTTCACATACAAAAAAGTCATATTTCTTAGTGAAGTGCTTTTAATAAAATAGAATAAAATTTTGTCCATGAATATATTGAGTATTTGTTTTGAATAGTCCATGTGCAGAGTAATTTTCATGTTAAAATTGAAAATACTTTTTGCCATCTCAAAAATTTCAAATTTCCTTTGTATAATCCCTAAAACCTCCTACATGCATTTCAAACGTTTTTTTTTTTTCACTAAATCCTTATAGTTTATATGTTATTTTCTCTACCCCAATCTCAAAACTGGATCGGTCAATTTGACTGACCTAGTAACACCCCTCAAAAAAATCGAAATAAACCTAAATTAAACTTCTTTTCTTTCTAGTATGACTTCAGATGGTAACCTGAAACTATACTTGTTTATCCTAAGTAGCTCTAAGTTCGTAACATTATACATCTATTTATAATTAAATTTTATTGTTTTATTGCCCTTTATATTGCCCATTGAACCATGTCTAACTACTATCCATGCCATTATAAGTTGTAAATCACACTGGAAACGTGCAGCTCATGTTACGCTATTGAATTACATTACCAACGAGCTGCTGAGCTGCTCGCGTGCTTGCTTCATGAGCAATTTTAATTATATTATTATTATTACTTATTTTACCTATTCTAGTCTTGAATAACTGAGAAAGATCCATACTTTTAATTTTAGTTACTTTTATAATAATAAATAAAGAATAAATATGAAAAACAAGAAATAAAGTACTTACCCAATCTTAGTTTTTTCTTGCCCTCGATTGTCAAGTAGAGTTAAGCCTGATTTATTTTTAGCAGTTATGGTTAAGCACTTAAAAATTTTTACTTAAATAATACATCAAAGAATACAGACTAATAACATGCAAAAAGTAGACAAATTCACTTCTAAAAATTTTTTGGCTTTCTAATTATGCAACAAAAGCCATTACAAATTCATCCAGGCTAGTCGTTAACTTTCCCACAGGAACAAAGTTGCTACTCCGAGTGACATTGACAGTTATTTGTTCAAAACACAATGTTATAGAAAACGCCATTTGATATATGAAAACCTTGACTTTCTATTGGTTATAAATAATATATAATGATATGTAAGAAAGAACTATCAACCAATTGTGAAAGGGAAGATGTGAGAGGTGGGTGTGGCAGGAGGGGTCTGATTTTCTCTTTGGTAGCTCTGTAACAAAACAAAATTGAGAGCCATAAAAATTATGGTCTGTTTAAGCAATAACAATTTTATAGAGAGCATTTCATGTTTGATTTCGTACATTTTCGAAGGGTGATCTATTAAATAGGGATGATGACATGCTAAGACAAAAGTTGTCATGTGTGTTGCACTAGTAGAAATTCAGGATTCTTTTATATATTTTCTTTTAG